CCCCCTCTGGGGTCCTTGGGTCCTTCCTGGGTCTGTTGTCGCGCAGGCCGGGAGCTCCCGCGCTGGCCGGGAGCTCACGCGCACGCCGCCGGGTGATCGCAGACAGGCAGGTCTGCAATTGCTGAGTGTTTTCCTAACTCCCCTCCCCTCCCCTGTTCAAATATGTTCCATTCTTCATATTGGAGCCAGGATGATCCTTTAAAAGCACAAATGTGATCATGCTCTCCCAGTCTAGGTCATGTCATTACAGAAAATTCATTATGTTAAAGTGATGGAATACATACTACATGTTCCAGACATCCCAGATACTTGGTATATAGCATGTGAGCAGAAGTCCTCTATTCAAAACCCTCCTTGGCTTTTTCTGCCTAATACAAAATGTAAAATAATATTAGGGGATAGGTGTGCTAGTTATCCCCTAATATCGCTAATATCCCATAATGGCCACACCAGTTTCTTTTCATTCCTCTAAGTCACCACAGGACAGTATATCAAAGGGAATACTGGGTAGGGATATGAGAAAATGAAGACAGGAGAGGGGAACCAGTGGACAGGGAGTGGATTTTGAGTGATGGAGATAAGGCTGATGGGTCAAACCCATGGAGAGAAGCGGGTTGGGGTCAGGAGCTCAGATTGAGGTGTGGGATGTGAAGGAAGTCAGTCATGTTTAAAGGGATAGCCAGGAAAAGAACAAAGAAATTTTGAGGTGTGAAGGAGGGAAATGGAGAGTGCTAACACTTTTAGCAAAACAGGAACCAAGGTTGTCTGCTTACCAAAGCATGGAGAGAGGACATGGCCGGTGGCTGGTGGAGTGTTGGCAGTTGGGAATGCTTTAGGGAGTAATGGGGTGAAAGAAAGAAAGAAAGAATGAATGAATGAATGAACGAATGAACGAGAGGCCTAGTGACCAGTTACCTACAGGTGAGGTTAACCAAATTGTTGGATTGGACTGTAATCTTTCAGAAATTGGGCATAGTAAAACTAGCCTGGTTAAAATAAACCTCCCAACAAGTTGGGAAGTAATATTGTTGAATGTTAAGGATTTTACTAAATATGTACAAGTACAGCATTTCCAGGGGAGACAAAATAAGAAAGATTGCAAAGATCAAGGACTAGAAGACATTGAGATTAGAAGGGCATATTGTTGGCCCTAGGCTGTTGAGTAATCACTTTCATCCCAAGTGCTGCTGCTGTCACACTCTTCCTTCTTTTAGACACCTGCTGTCTGATGGGATGGACACTGCATGAGAAGCGCTGCTTTTACTTCTCACCAACTGAGAAAACTTGGGAAGAGAGCCAAAACCATTGTACATCTCTGTCCTCCAAGCTGGCCACTTTGGGTCAACGTAATCAGTATTTAGTAAGTATACCCTTATCTACACATAGAAGTGGGTAGTTAGGTAAAGGGAGGTATGGCATCAAGTCAGGAAGGGCACTGCACACCTGGCGTGCAAACCATGGCTCGCATTCCTTTCCCATAGTATAGTGATAATCACACCAGTTGTCACTGAACTTGGAAACAGCCTCTCTGCACCTTCTCAGCCCTATGCTCCAGGTGGCTGCTCCTGACTGATTACAGTTGGCGTGAGAGCTGAAACTTCTGAATCACCTCTGCTTTCACTTGTGTCTATCTCAACTTTCTGGTCAGCCTTCTGGGCTTAATGGTTTGACTCTCATGGTCTTTCAGACAGTCAAGTGGCTGGCTGGGAGAGACAGGTTCCTTGGGACCAACACAGCGTACAGAACAACTCCCCTCCAAGGGATGGCAGAAATTCTTACCCACTTGGGAGATGAACTAAAGAGTGGCACTTGAAGGATGAAGGGACAGGTCATCAATGAGCTGTCATGTACCAACCATGGGCATAGCCTTCTTGCCAAAACTCACAGGCCACCTCCTGAGTTTTCATTTTCTTTCGTATTTCTCATCACTCTCCGCATATCTCTGGTTTCTCTGAATCTTCCCCTGCAGGCACTCCCCAGCAGCTTTGATAAATTATTGTCAGATGGTGGCGCAGATACATATTGGATTGACCTCAACACTGATAATGTCCGGCAGATGACTTGGTCAAATGATCGCTCAAATTACTGGTAAGTCTGTGAGCACTTTTGGATATGTTCAACCCCACAACCCTCTCATAAAGACATAATAATACAATCTCTTCCCATGCACTGGTCCCAAAACTCTTCCACAAATCAATGTTACAACTGTCCGTTTCCTCTATTTGGTTAATAACTCTTTAAGACATTCTATTTTATCCCCACTACCTACAGATCCCTGCCACATGCTTTGAAAAATAAATACTGGATTGAGGAATCTATGTCATCTTTCAGAGGGAGAAACAATTAGGGCCTCACTAACTTCTCATCCATGTGACCAGGCTACCCAAACTGAGGCTGTACTTTCTCAATTAGGCCACTTGGGGCGCTAGAGGCCTCTCCCCTCTCAGGGAAGTCTGCAAGGGAGCAGTGCAGTAACTTGGAAGATCAGCCTTAGGGACCCTGAAAAGAGGGTGGCCTTCTCATGCTCCCTATTCATGTTAGCACCTTGGGTGATTTTTCCTCCCTTGGTCCTAAAGCCTCTTCTAGTTGTGAGTCTAGAAATCAACCTTGGAACCATGAGTAGACATGGTCTTATGCAGGTAGGATGGGTTGGGAGTTGGGCTAGGTTTTATACAGAGCAAGGGGAGAGAAGGAAGAGCTAGGAAGGGTCCAGAGTATCCCAGTTCTGCTTTATATTCTGTAGGTATTCTTCTCAAACCAAAAACTGTGCCAAAGTACAAAAACTGGAATGGAGATCAAGATGGCAGATAGCAAGAGACTGTACACAGTCTTTTCGGTATATCTGTGAACTGGCAGCTTTCAAGTTTCCAGACTGGGATCACTCTTTGCAGTGAGCTGGGTAAGTGAGAGAGGTGCTGAGACATGAGTCAGGGCTTGAGTGGTAGAGGGACCCAGAGGTCAGATAGAAAACTCTTTGTCACAGCATCCAGTGGGTTGGTCTGCTTATGTAAGGGTGGGTTGGGCAGAGATGGGCAGATAAAGCCTAGGACAGGAGGGAGGCTGCCCAGGGAGCTGGGGAGGAGAGACAGGATAAGATGGATGAGGGTTTAGTGATAGCAGCTGTGGAGCTCACTGATGCTTTACTCTTCCAGAATGCATTGCCAACAGACCTTGTGACTCCCATCCCTAACCTGTGGCCCGTTACTCCCGACGTCATCATCATCCCCGGCCCTCCTTCATTCTGGGCAGTGGTCAGCCAAGCGCTGATCCACCCTGACACTTCTAGTCAGCCAATGGCCTGCTTGGAACCCAGGCAGTTCCTGGGAAGAGGGTGAAGAAGTCTCTGGAAGGGACCCTGGCCTCCCTCAGGAACCTCCCATACTGGAAATGGGTGGGGAGGAGGGTGCATGGGCTGAGTAGATGGGGCGGCCCGGAGCCAGCCAGGCAGTTTTATTGAAATATTTTTAAATAATTTGCACGTGTTAGTCTTGTATGTCAGCAGTGCTGTGTCTGGTTCAGTGATCCCCACAGGACAGCAAGCCCAGGGGTTGTATTCTGTCCCTCAAGTCCATGCTGAGGCTCCCCTATATGGGGAGAAGAGTCGGTCAGCCTATCTGGGGCTGGCGTTGTCTGGTAAGTGCACTCTGTCCTCACAAGGTGTCCAGAAGGCCAAAGTTGGAGGCCTGAGATCACAGGCCTCATTGCTAAGAGCGTGCCCCAGGCAGCTGCAAGCTGGGTGTAGGTGGCTTGGCGTGGTGCCCTCGGTGGCAGAGGAGACTGCCTGCCTCACAGTTCAGGTTGCGGTAGCGGGCAACAGCTGGGGTGGGGCGGGGGCACATGGACAGGAAGCCAAAGCTGAAGGGGCCAAGGCAGCAGCCAGGGCAGGGCAGCCCCTCCTCAGGCTCCCGGGAGGCTGAAGGGGGTGGCGAGGGTTCTGTCCGCTCCAGGGCTGCTGCCCGGGGCAGGCTATGCTGAGCCCGGTTCCAGGGCTCCCCAGCCCACCCCTGTGGAGAGTTGACCACCACAGCTGGGGGGTTGTTGTTGAGGGGCGGTCCTGATCTAGGGGACCAGGGTTGGGAGGCTGAGGAACAAGTGCTGATGAAGTTGTCTGTGGCCACAGCCAGGGGCAGCTGGGGAGCTGGTCCCAGAGGTTCTGGTTCTGGGCTGCTGCCCTCACACTCCATCTTCTCGTCAGCCGAGGGGCCCATGGGGGGAGGGCCGGGGCCTGGCAATGCAGTCTCCATACGTCGGGGAAGCTCAGGGGATGATGGTAAAGAGCGGCAGCGGCGGGCAGGCGTCCCAGGCTGGACCAGATTCTCCGGAGTGGTCACCAAGGGTAGCTGGGTGGAGGGTAGTGGTGATGATGGTACGAGGGGCAGGGGAGTGAACGGCTTGCTGGGTGTGTCCAGGAGCTTGATCTTGCCACCCCCGAGGTCTTCCCGTAGTGAGAAAGGGTTGACTCGTGTTAGATTATCCCCCCAGTTGGGGGGTGATTCTGGTGATGGGGGAAGGAAGAGGTCTGACCGGCTTCGAGAGAGTCGGGGGTCTGGCCTGGGAAGTGTGGCAGAGGAACCTCCTCTTGGAACAGACCCTGTAGGCAGAGAAGTCTGTGATCACTGTTCTCAGCTTTTGATCATAGCTCTCCAGGAGCCTGATGGCACTAGAACTCAGAAAAGGGAGTCTCACAAGGAGTTTTGCAAAGGGGGAAAGTCGCCTCCAGCCACCTTTTACCTCGTCTTTTCTTCCTGCACTCCCTCAAGCAGGTTCTAGCAGTAGAAAATATCTTCTCTGAGATGTCTTCCCACCCTACCCCACGCGACTCTCAGCTTTTCCAACTAAAATCCACTTAGCCTCCCCCAGATAACTTTTGAGTTCTAAGGAGGAGAGAGGCAAAATGACTCCTACTGGGCCAAGGTCATGCTCACTTACCCTGACTGTGTGTCAGTGGAGTCCTAGTGAGGGGGGCTGGCTCAGGCAGCTGCTCCAGGATCCATTCCAGGTGCTGGGTGATTTCAGTGAAGGGGGCTCGGGTGCTGGGTTCCATCTGATGAGCAGACAGGGGCGGCTTTACTCAGTCCTCTGAAAGAGGGTCCCTGAGTTTTCCTCCCATCACCTGGAAGCCATGTCAGCTCATGAATGTGGCAGGGGACCAGGAGGGAGCATGAGGCTCTTACGCTGCAGCAGTGGATAGCCAGGAGCAGGAAAGGCAGCGGGCAGTCATCCCCCACCAGGGTTCGGAAAGCCGGCACATCCAGGCCAAAGTCCTGTGGGGACAGGGGAGGGGCCTGAAGTCAGCCTTCCTTGGGTTCTCCTCCTGCCTCCCTATGAGGATCTCAACCTCCCGAGCCCTCCTGAGGTATGAAGCACCTAGTCTAGAGTCTCCTCTTTCACCTAGAGATAGTCACCTCAGTGCGGGGCAGGTAGTCAGGATCTGCAGGTACTCGGGCAATGAGTTCACAGAGCACAATCCCAAAGGCAAAGACATCAGCCTAAGGGGAGAAGATGATAATGACAGGGGGAGGAACTGACAGTTCTCATTCCAGCATTCAGTTGGAATAGCCCAGAATTTGGGTGGGGGAATAATCTTGTCAATTTCAATGTGTTGGAAAGGTGACTCTGAGGGTTATGGGGACTCTTAAGGTTCCTAATATTTGGTGGGTTTGTCATTGGGATGGAACCATAGAAAGGTGTCTGGAGAGCCTTGAAGCCATGAAGGATTGTCTTACCTTTTCATCATACAGCTCTCCCCGCAACACCTCTGGAGCCATCCAGTATGGGGAACCCACCACAGCCAATGGCTCCTTACTTGCCCCTTCCCTGCAGGGGCAGCGGTCAGAAACATCCCATTTAGGCATCCTCCCCAGGCAAAAGGGAACAAGGTGAGCTCCCTCCCCACCCCAAGGGAAATGTTCCAGGGAGCTTTACTTCAACAGGGGACCTCTGGGAGGCTTTAGGGTAACAGGGTCACCTCACCTATACACGGGAATCTTTTCAGCCAGCCCAAAATCACCCACCACAGCTGTGAAGCCACGGTCTTCTCGTCGGACCAGGCAGTTCTGACACACACACAAATAGGCATTCTCACACACCCATTACCATCTGCTCTCTGGTCTCCCAATATAAACCTAAAGACTCATCACTGTAGCACAACTGCAACCCACTTTTCCAGTTGTCCAGTATACCCCAATAGTGCAACATTATCCAACTCTCTAGTGTGAACCTTTGGAGGACTCTCCTCATCCCAGATCTCCCACTATTCTCCAATGCCTTGTCACTGCAATACCCTAGTAGAAATATTGTCTACATTCCAACATCAGTGGATCAGTTACAACAAAATAGTCTCAAACCCTCCATGTCTCCACCCACCTGGCCATCCTACCTTGGATGTGAGATCTCGGTGGAATACACCTTTGGCATGCAGGTACCGCAGGCCTCGGGCAATGTCCAGAGCCAGCTGGAGCCTGACTGGCCAGGACAGAGGCTCTGGAGAGCTGAGCAGCTGTTCCAGGGTCCCCCCATTCATATACTGGGACAAAAGGGTAGGAGAAAGGAAATAAATGTTAAGGCTTCAGTCGTCTGTACTGTAGGCCTCTCGCTAATTAGGCTGGGGATACCCAGGAGAGTATCCCCCCTCACAATGATCAGAAGGGTGAGTCTGTGATCTAGGGACTCCCATTCACTTTCTAGGACTGCCCAGTAGTTACTAGCCATGTGCAGCTATTTAAGTTATTAAATTTAAATGTTAAATTAAACATTCAGTTCCTCAGTCACATCCCCATTTTCCATGCTCTAAGCTAGCCATGTGTGGCCGATGGCTATTGTATCAGACAGCACAAATACAGAGCATTTCCAACGCTGTAGAAAGTTCAACAGGGCAGCACTGTTCCAGGTAATACACAGAATGAGGGCTCTTAAAAGTGGTTTGGCCAAAGGGAAGTTCAGGAAGCCTCCCCTGGGAGAAGGTCCTGTGCCTCTCCTCATTCCTCCGCAGACCCACCAGGTGCCCTCCTCTCTTTTCCCTTGGCGGCAGAAGTGGGTTCCCGATTTCTGGCCTGCCCTCACCTCTGTAAGAGCGTGCAGCTGCCCCTGATGCACACAGACTCCCATGAACCTGGAAGAGGATGGGGAAGACAGGAGGGTAGGCTTAAGAGCTCCAGCCAGGCCTCATTTCCCACTTTTCAGCGAGCGGGATGCCCACCCACCCCTCTGTGAACAAGTTGCCCAGCCAGAGGCTGGAGCTGCTCACCTTAGGATGTTAGGGTGCCTGAGACGGTTCATCAGCTGCACCTCTCGTAGAGTGTTGCCCCGGTTACTGGGGAGCTTGTTCATCTTCAGCACCATGACTTGCCCCGACTGTCGGTGCCGAACCTGGGGGCAGCAAAGGCCGGCGTGGGCCCGACAGGTTGAGCGGGTCGTCGGAGTCCGGGTTCTTTATCCCAGCTGTGGGCCCTCAAGTTCTAGCCTCCGGTGGAAGGCTCGGTTCCGCCCCTCTGCCATCTCGTCAGATCCTACCTTGTAGACCTCGGAGAAGAAGCCGGCCCCGATCTTCTCGGCGCAGTGGAAATCGTCCACACGTGCCAGGCTGGACACGGCGCTGCGGAGAGCCCGGTAGGAGGAGGGGCGGCCC